AAAAAAAAAAAAAAAGACTAGGAGGGTACTAAACCATTTTAAGTGCTCAACAACCGCAGGTGGCTAGTGGCTACCATACCGGATGGTGCAAATATAGAACACCTCCACTGTCACGGTCAGTTCTACTAGATAGCCTTGTTGAACCGTTAGTTCTGTATCCCCTTGTAAAAAGCCCTGCGCCTGAGGTCCACGTCATTCAGCTAAACCATGGCTTCTCAAACTTTAACATGCAAACAAACCACCTGGGATCTGTTAAAGTGGCGATGCCGATTTAGTAGGTCGGGGGAAGGGTGCTTGAGTTAGGCGTTTCTAACCAACTCCCAGATGATGCCAATTTTGCTGGTACACTGACTACACCAGCTTCCTCCCTTCCGTGTTGCTAACAATTACCAACTCCCAATCATTCTACCCCATGCATCAGATTTTCTTTAGCATACAGCTCACAGCTCTTTTCTCCTTCCTAGTCCCTGCTGCATCCTGGGTGATTTCAACAGTCCACGGGACAATCCAAGCAAGTTCCTTGACCTTCAGTGGTGTCCTCCATCAACTACCCAATTCCTATAATCACACCCAGACACCTTTAGAATCACCTAAAAATGGTTCTAACCTCTGAAATCACTATAAATCACACACACTTTGGGACCACAAAATGATTGCTTTCCCATGTACTTTCATTCTCATTGATCTTCAACCTTATCAGGACCCCCAGTCCACTAATTCCTTCTGTTTCTTTTTTTCCTGCCTTCACTTCCCTGTCTTGGATTTTTGCCTTGCAAATATCCTAAACTCCCTTTTACCTTTACTACTTTGTTGAACCCACTTGGCAAAATCCCAATTCTGAACTAACCAACTAACCCCTTTCTCTGTGCTACACACAGGATCCTGAATTGCTGGAGGAAGTCACACAACCTGAGGGTATCACTATATATAAATTAACGGTTAACAACCTTAACTGAGCCCTCTATCCAGTCTGGAAACCTCACATTTCTCTAAGCAAACTTCCTCTCCCAGTCTTCACAACTATTCTTTCAAACTTTCTCCTCTCTCCTTCAATTTCCAACCCTCATGCCTCACCCTACATTCTCCCTCACAGAGAAAACAGACCAGTTAGGAACCACCCCTCCTCTTCCTTCTCTCCCATTACAACGGAAATGTTCTCCCATCACAGGGCAATTCTTCTGTTTGTGCACTGAATCTCCCTCCTTTCCGGGACCTTCAATCTCTTCTTGCCTATCAGATCCTTTCTTGTAATCATTTACATATCAACTAATCCGCTGCCCTCCCAAAAAAGGCCAACTAGGTGAAAGAGGCCAACCTGAAAAGGCTACATATGGTATGATTCTCACTAGATGACATTCTGGAAAAGGCAAAACTATGGAGATGGTAAAGAGATCCTCAAATTTAGTGTTTCAAAACAGTTCATATTACATCAAACTAATATGAACAGACTGCATTATGGAGTATTTAGCATTTTAAGTATTAGCAAACGAGGTTACTGAGCCACATGGCAAATGATCGAGACTGCCACAGCTATCAATTCCTCTTTGCTGTAGTTCTCAAAGGGAGTCCTTGAAGTATAACCCTATAAACCCCAACCACAGATTATAATCGTAAAGTAGAACACAGCTTTCCCATTAGAACAATGAAATAACCGCAAGTTCTGTTTCTGACAAAGCCCTCAATATCAAGTAAATTAAACCTTAGATAAAACTGATAAAAGCCGGGCGCCTGGGTGGCTCAGTCGTTAAGCGTCTGCCTTCGGCTCAGGTCATGATCTCAGAGTCCTGGGATCGAGTCCCACATCGGGCTCCCTGCTCGGTGGAAGGCCTGCTTCTCCCTCTCCCACCCTTCCTGCTTATATTCCCTCTCTCACTGTGTCTCTGTCTGTCAAATAAATAAAATCTTAAAAAAAAAAAAAACTGATAAAAGCCAAAATTCAAGAAATACAAACTCTGAGATGCCTTTAAATTGTAAGATTATGCTTCAAGTTCTACAATATGAGTATAAGCACACTGCATATACATCGATAATACAAGGGGTCCCAAAGTGCTACAAAAGTATACACTGAACCCAAAATTCGAAACAACTGTATCACGAATTTGAATTGTAGGAATCCTGCCAGTTACATTAAAAAACAGTCATCTTGAAAAGTGTTAACTTAGGGCGCCTGGGAGGCTCAGTCGGTTAAGCGTCTGCCTTTGGCTCAGGTCATGATCCCAGGGTCCTGGGATCTGAGTCCCGCATGGGCTCCCTGCTCAGTGGTGGGGGGGGGCTGCTTCTCCCTCTGCCTACCGCTCTGCCTACTTGTGCTCTCTCTCTCTTTGTCAAATAAATAAATAAAATCTTAAAAAAAAAATAAAAGTGTTAATTTAGATCTTTCTCAATAAGTTTCTCAAAGCAAAAAGGTGGTCAAAATTATTTTACTTTACGCAGTCTGCAGTGACTTTTCTCTACCACTAGATGGTACTATGAGCTTCAGAAATGGAGGGAATAAAAGGGAAGCCGGCTCCATTAATCACTGTTGCCAAGCTCAACTATCCTGCCCCAGTGTATCCTTATACTTGTACTCAACAAAGCCTAACTCTTAACCCTTGGTTTACCATACACATCTGGTCACTACAATCTTAAAGAGAATCAAACACACTTGTTAAAATCTGAAGTAACGAAAGGTGGGCAAGCTTCCTCTTAACCTTTGAACAAGGTTTTTTAATTGAATTCTAGAACTAAATGAGGAAAAAAAAAGGAAAACACTAAAGGTTTCTCAGTTGCACTTTATCACCTCTAAAATGTTTTGTTCTTATTATTTAAAGGCAAGTTTTTGCTGAAGATTATATATTTAAACCAGCACTACACTGAAGTATTGGAACTAATGTAGAGTCCCAAAGTAGAGGATATAGCCACAATCTAAGATATCAAAAAGGGTCACAAACTTTTTTTTTAATTTTTTTTTTTTAAAGATTTTATTTAGTTATTTGAGAGAGAGAATGAGATAGAGAATAAGAGCACAAGGGGGGAGCGGGAGAGGGAGAAGCAGACTCCCCGCTGAGCAGGGGAGCCCGACGCGGGACTCGATCCCGGGACTCCGGGATTATGACCTGAGCCGAAGGCAGTCACTTAACCAACTGAGCCACCCAGGCGCCCAGGTCACAAACTTTAATATGCTAACACTGATAATTACGTAAATCTTGACACAGGAAACCACTTCCTAAATCAACAGGTTCAAACCATTCTAATTCTTTTTTTTTATTTTAGATTTTATTTATTTATTTGACAGAGAGAAAGAGAGATAGCGAGAGCAGGAACACAAGCAGGGGGAGTGGGAGAAGGGAGAAGCAGGCTTCCTGCTGAGCAGGGAGCCCGACGTGGGGCTCGATCCCAGGACCCAGGATCATGACCTGAGCCGAAGGCAGACGCTTAACTGACTGAGCCACCCAGGTGCCCCTCAAACCATTCTAATTCTAAGCAACACGTTCTCAAAGGCTAACAAAAACTAAAGATATCTAATTTAAATGGAAGGATAGAACAATCTCAGATTAAATCTAAGCCTTTGTATATTGCTAGTAAAAGTATCAAAACCATCTGTTTGCAAAGGTGTGAAACAAGTCAGAATTCAATTTAAGAACTTTCCCATCCCTTTTAAAGACCAAAGACAACTTGGCTAACTACATATAAACATCCCTAACCTTGTTTTATATAAATTTAAGGGGAAACAAACTATAAAGTAATTTTAAAAGTTAATATATTTTAAAATTGATCACTTCTTATGAACATGTCTATATTTTCAAAAAAGTACAATGTGAAAATTTAACAGGAAGCCTGGTGATCACAAAAGGTACCAGTATCTCTAGCTGATCTGACAGTAAAAAAGATCCCAATTATTAATTTTACAATCTACTAACACTTACATGAACACAGAAATCCAAAATCACTAGCATCCTTTTTTCCTAAAGATAAAATATATTCTCAACGTACTCCTTACAAAAACTTCAGGGGTAAAAATTTTCTCAAAAATCCAGATCTTTTTCACTATGTAGTTTATCCTAACACTTTTCTTAATTCTTTGAAATGTATTCAATATTGAGATACACCTTATGGCAAAAATTAGTGTAGTAGAATTCACTCAAATTTCTTCTTGATGTTGAAAAGTGGCTACATGACGTACCTTCAGAGTTATGTGCCGTTTTCTTGTGTTTTCGGCAATAAACCCTATAAAAAAAATGAAGACATCAAAAATTATCAAGTAAACAAACTAAACTCGTTTTTCAAATTAAGAAAATGAGCAGTACACTTCACCCCATTCACAAGCTGGATTCCAAAAATCTTATTAAACGTCCTATGCCATTTCTCTAACCATTAAATTCCTTACCAAAAACCCCCTTTACAATGATGATGAAATGCTCTGAAATGGGAAAAACTTTTACAAAAGCCTAAAGAAAATATGACTGCTAAAAAAAACTTAAAGACAAGTTAAATAATTACATGTAAATTCCTTGTGAAGGTTTCTCTCGTATTTGAGCTTTATCATGCAATGCACAGTGGTAGTGGTATGTCCTGTGACATGTTTTCACATCACAACCAATTGTTGCTCCAGGACAATGGCACAAAGAACACATCTACAGCAAAACAATAAAATAATTATTATTAGTGTGCGATTTTGCTAAGGCCGTGATGTCAGGTTAGAGGCATATCAATCTCTGTCAAGGAAAACAAATTGGTTATTGAAAAGTTTTGTAACTAATAATGCTACTTTTGTTTTCTTGCCTAGAAATAATGTGAATAAAATTCTACTAGGGGTATTTTTTCCCCCCAGATTAAACATTGACAAAATTAATGGAATATTATTAATGTCTATTGTTTCACTGTGGTCAAGAGAAAATCTGAAATGTTACAAATCAGGAATGTAAGCTGTATATAACTTAGACCTTTTCACAATCCAGATTTTCCTGGAAATGGGTAACTGTGGAAAATGTCTCATACCAGAAAAAATTTTTCCTTCACACTTCCACTTAATGAAAATCGGAAAAAAACAAAACAAAACAAAACAAAAAAACAAAACAAAACCTCACATACTATTGGGGAACTTGGTAAAATCAACTTCAAGTGAGGGAAGAAGGATAAAAAATTGAGTAGATTTTTAAATATCTCAAGCTCTAAAAATATTTTGTGATGTAAATTTGTGAAAATATGCTCATCTATTTTAATTTAATCTATGTTACTTACCTCTTGTATTATGAATTCAGGCAAATAGAAGAATGGACTCTAAACAGATTTTAATGTAATTTACCTTCTGACTTTATTAGATAATTCCTATTGTTTAACTAGCTTATGCTCTCAATGTAGGAAAAAGCTCTTCAAACAAAAAAGCACATAACAATGACTGTTAGTGGTTTTGATTAACATATCATAGTATACGGTACTGAGTGGACTTTTAAGGAGGCTATCCTCCTAAGCTATAGATGCCATGCCAAAATAAATTCACTGTAAGGTAAATCTTAAAAACTGTTTCTTGGTTGCTAGATACCTCATTCGGAACTCTTCTCATTCCTCTATTAATTTTAACATAAAGAACACTTACCATCCTAACTTTTGGATTACTTGGCCCCTGAGCAATTTGGGTATACTGAGAAGCTAATATAAATTCCAATAAAATTCCTTACACTTCTCTAAGCAAGTCAAACACTCAACCTCTCATTCAAACTGTCATTTAAGAAATACTCCTAAGTCAGAAACATTCTCAATACAGGTACATCCCAGAAAACATGAGGGCCAGTGCCCATTATTAATACTAGGGAAATACTCCATTTCCTTAAATACAGAAACCTCAAAGTATTACTGTAAAAAGAAATATTGTGCCAAATTATCAAGCAGGAAAAGCTGTTAAATACCTTTGGGTGGCTTGTAAATTCTTGAGAAGGTGAGCATTCATACTACAGCTTAATTATGAAGTTTTATCATTTTAGCAAATTATATCTTTCATCAAAAAACACACTTACTATAGAAATTTTGGAAAACACAAGGGCAAAAAGGAAATTAAAAAAACAACTCATGCTTACCAAGCAGAAATGCACTTACAGTATGTCACAATGTTTACATGCAAGTATTTTTCTATGTAATTCTGTACATACTATTTTACAACCTGTTTTTTTTATCTTAACAAGTTGAACATTACCCCACCTCTTGAAGAACTCTACTGCAAGTAGTTCATCTTGAAATTTCATCAAAAATGGATTTGCACAGGTATATTTTGAAAAAAAAATTTTGAATTCAATTAGCAAGCAAAAATGAGAGGGGAGGGACTATTAAAAATACTGTACTTGGCTCAACACTGGCAAAAATACAGTGAGATGGGTCCTCTCATATCCTGCTGGAAATCACTGTATTCTGGATAGCAGCTTGCCTTATTTATCAAAGAGCTTTTAAAAAAGTTCTTATTGGGGCGCCTGGGTGGCTCAGTCGTTAAGCGTCTGCCTTTGGCTCAGGTCATGATCCCAAGGTCCTGGGATCAAGCCCCACATCGGGCTCTCTGCTGAGTGGGAAGCCTGCTTCTCCCTCTCCCACTCCCCCTGCTTGTGTTCCCTCTCTCGCTGT